TAAATATATATATAGATATTTAATTTCAGAGAGGAAGAGAGAAGGAGAGAGAGATATAAACGTCAATGAAGAGAGAGAATCATGGATCGGCTGCCTCCTGCACGCCCCGCACCGGGGATGGAGCCCGCAACCCGGGCCCATATGGGCCCTCGGCCGGAATCGAACCCGGGACCCTCCAGTCCGCAGGCCGCCGCTCCATCTGCCGAGCCAAGCCGGCCCGGGCGTGTAACTTTTATCTTGGAGGCGAGAAGACACATCCCCATCCTGCCCCGAGTCACGGGCTGGTCAGTGACAGTGACGCCGTCGGACCCGACTCCCAGTCGGACCTCCTTCCCCAGCGCCCAGTCGTTACAACCACCGGGAAGGAATTCCACACGGAGCTGCTTAACTTGCACGGACGCCAAGCTCTTTCGAGTCAAGGAACAGCGTGAACACCGCAGCCCAGAAAACGGGCAAACAGCGATACACACAAGCTCCACCGCTTTATTTAAAGACAGACAGACACGCGGACGCTCAGGCCTCCGCCCGAGCCCTCCGAGCTGACGAGCCGCACCTGCCGCGCGGGGCGAGCGGGAGGGTGGGGCTCGGCCTCCGGCGGCCGCCTCCCGCCTCACGGCTCCTCCGCGCACAGCCCCACCGGGCGTCCGGGTCTGAGGTGGCCTCCGCCCCGCCGGGGCCGCTCCCCGAGCGTCGCCCACCGCCGCCGGCCCTGCCCGGCCGCGCCCCGGCCTCACTGGAGCGCGGGCCGGGGTGACACCCTCGCTCAGGGCCCAGAGGGGCCTCCGGAAGCCGCACCGGCCCCGCACCCGGGACGGGCGTCCCCCCTCCCGCGTCCCCAGCTCCCCCACAGCCCCCGCACCTTCTCCTCATGATGGAAGTCTCCCGGTCACCGGACGGCGAGGCCCACGACCTACTCCACCGGGAACCGAGCGCGGCAACCAGTCCCTAGCACCGGCTCGCTCAGGATCTGCCACTTCGCGAGCCGTTAGGCACCCGCGGGATTTCAAACCAAGCACCGTGGCGGAGCAGGCCTGCGATTGGTGCTCCGTCCTGTCGCTCCTCGAGAAGCCCCGCCCACTCCCCGCCCCCTGTCGCGAGAGTTCAGTTTCGGCTGTCTGGACTCCGGGCTGGGATCGCCTCCAGCGGGCTCGGCCACGCCCGAGGGCGGACCGCTTTCCTCGCCCGGCCACTGGGGGCGCTCTGCAAGAGGAGCCCGCCCCGCCGCTACCCTGGGGCGGTTTTGTTTTTAAATTTTTTTGTTTAATCCTCACCACAGGATATGGGTTTTTTTAATTGACTTTTAAAGGGGACAAATGTAATACTTTCAACAATAAAGATTTAATTAAAAATAGATTTTTAGAGAGAGGAAGGGAGAGAGACAGCTCAATAGGGCACCGGACCGGAAATCAAACCTGCAATCTAGGCCTGTGCCCTGACTGGGAATGGAACCCACCCACAACCTTTTGGTGTACCATACAAGCTCTAACTAACTGAGCCACCGGCCAGGGCGGTTTTTTATTTTTATTTATTGAGAGCGTGAGAAACGTGGATTGTTGTCCCACTTAATTGGTTGCTTCTTGCGCATGCCCTAAACAGAGATCAAACCCATGCCCTAAACAGAGATCAAACCCATGCCCTGGCATATGGGGACTACGCTCTAACCAACGGAGCTGCGGACGGGGCTCCCTGCAGGTTTGACTCCAAGTGCACGAGTTGCCTGGAAGGGGCAGTGAGCGCAGCCAGCCGACCTCCCAGGTGCGGTGCATAAAGGCTTCCCAGCCCACACCAGCTGGGTGTGGCGGGAGCAGGTTACTAGAAAGGCCTGGTGTCTTGCCTCCCTCGCTCATCTGAGCATCAGCCTGGGAACTGATCTTTGGTGGCAATATTCCCCAGATGTAGGAAATAGTGCCCTAGGGAACCTTGCTCGGGCCCAGGAACTTTCTAGACCAGTGATCCCCTTTAATTACCACAATTCCGTTCAGTGAATATGATCCCCATTTTACAGAGCCAGGGAACTGTCTCAAAAAGGTTTGCCAATCACTTTTTTTCAGTGATTTTTGGTTGCACAATATCCTGGTGTGTGGATATCTCATAATTCAACTATTTTGTATTGATGGATACTTAAATCACAATTTTTACAAATAAATGTCTTCAGACATGTATCTTTGCATCATGCATTGTTCTAAGGTTGATTCCTACAAGTGTAACTACTGAACACTCCCTTTCCAGAGAGGTTTAGTTATTCACTGGAGGCCCAGTGCCTGAAATTCGTGCACAGGTAGGGGCCCTATTCCTGGCTGGGTCCCTTCCTTTCTCTGGCTGCCAGCTGGGACCTACCTTTGTTCCGCCCCCTGGTGGTCATTGCAAGTCACAGAGGGCAGTCAAATTCCTGATTGGTTGAACTTCCCAGGGGACAATTTGCATATTGGCCTTTTATTATATAGGATTTGCCCTGCCCACCAAGCGAGCCTCACCAGCAGAGCACCTCCTCTCTCCCTGGGTAGCTCTGACTACTGCTGTACTTTTAAACCTCTTTGTTGGTTTCATGGGGAAAGTGGGATTTCCGTCTTCACACTTGCTTAATTACAACTGAAACTACACCTTTTCCCATGGGTATTGGCTACTTCTAGAAACGATCTCCTTTTGCCCTTTCCAGGAAGGAAAAGGAAAGGATGAATGCTTGCTTGCACTCAGGACCCCATTTTGCTTTCAGAAGAACCTCCACTCTCCCTCTGGGGGTCACGGCAGCACCTTTCCCTTCCTCTACCCCCAGGTGCATCGCCTTTACCTTCCTCACTTCTAAGCTCCAAGGGCCCTTCCTTTACCTCTATGACTTGTTTCCGACTTCGATGACTTCTATGAATTACTTCTTCTACCTCTGTGATTTTCCAAATAAATGTTCTCTTATTAAAAAAAATAAATAAATAAAGCCCTGACCGGTTTGGCTCAGTGGATAGAGTGTCGGCCTGTGGACTGAAGGGTCCCAGGTTCGATTCCGGTCAAGGGCATGTGCCTTGGTTGCAGGCACATCCCCAGTGGGGGGGGGGGGGGGGTGTGTGTGCAGGAGGCAGCTGAATCGATGTTTCTTTCTTATCGATGTTTCTAACTCTATCCCTCTCCTTCTCCCTTCCTCTCTGTAAAAAATCAATAAAATATATATATTTTAAAAAAATAATAATAAAAATAAAATAAAGAACAACAACCTCATTGGTGCTTTCAACATCCTTTAACTTGCCAGCAGTGTGCCCAACATTTGCCCCACTAATATAGTGGCCCTTAGGCACCACGTTTAAATTTCATCCTATTCTCTGCCAAAGCCGGTTTGGCTCAGCGGATGGAGCGTCGGCCTGCGGACTGAAGGGTCCCGGGTTCGATTCCGGTCAGGGACATGTACCTGGGTTGCAGGCACTTCCCCAGTGGGGGATGTGCGGGAGGCAGCTGATCGATGTTTCTCTCTCATTGATGTTTCTGACTCTCTATCTCTCTCCCTTCCTCTCTGTAAAAAATCAATAAAATATATTTAAAAAAAATTTTTCATCCTATTCTTTGTTGATTAATTTGCCAGTTTTTCAGAAAGCCTCAAAAATGTGGGATCTTCACACATGTTCCCAGGCCAGTGTGGTAAGGACGCAGAGATAAGACAATTTTGCTATCATGTCCTTTCCGCTGTAGTTCTGAAGCCAAACAGGTCATGGATTCACTGGATGACGGGCACTCTGAGCAGATGCTCAACGTCTAAAACACTGTGTAGCATGAGCCGGTTTGGCTCAGTGGATAGAGCGTCGGCCTGCGAACTGAAGGGTCCCGGGTTCGATTCCCGTCAAGGGCACATGCCTTGGTTGCAGGCTCCTTCCTGGTCCGGGCTCTGGTCGGGGTCATGAGGGAGGCAACCAATAAATGTGTCTCTCTCACATCAGTGTCTCTCTCTGTCTCTCCCTCTCCCTTCCACTCTCTCTAAAAATCAATGATAAAAATATCCTCAGATGAGGATTAAAAAAAAAACATAGAGAATTTCAAGAAGGAAAGCAGACCAATGAGACCAAGTTAGTAGAGGACTGAGAGGCCACTAATAGATGTGGTTACAGTTCACAATTTTTAAAAGGTAAAGGGAGAGGAAGGCCACTAGAACCACCAATTAGGACACCATTTGCTGACGCTCGAAACTGCTCTAACAGGGGAAACAATCTTTCATTTGGTACTAAAAAAAAAAAAAAAAAAAAAAGGCTGAAAACTAAACTGCCTCCTTAATTTAAAACAAACACTTTGTTTAAATCCTCACCAAGAATATTTTTCCATTGATTTTTATTTTTTAAAATTTTTTTTAAAATATATTTTATTGATTTTTTACAGAGAGGAAGGGAGAGAGATAGAGAGTTAGAAACATCGATGAGAGAGAAACATCGATCAGCTGCCTCCTGCACACCCACCACTGGGGATGTGCCCGCAACCCAGGTACATGCCCTTGACCGGAATTGAACCTGAGACCCTTCAGTCTGCAGGCCGACGCTCTATCCACTGAGCCAAACCGGTTTCAGCTCCATTGATTTTTAGAGGGAGTGGAAGAGAGAGGGAAAGACAGAGAGGAATATTGATGTGAGAGAAACATCGACTGGTTGCCTCCTGCATGAGCCTGACCAGGACCCAGGCCGGGGAGGAGCCTGCAACCCAGGCAGGTGCCCTTGACTGGAATCGAACCCAGGACCCTCAGGTCCACTGCCCGACGCTCTATCCACTGAGCCACACCAGCTAGGGCAACAGACACTTTTTTAAGCATAAGGAGTCATCGAATTTTAGAAATGGAAGGGTGCTTACTGATCACCTATCTGATCCATCTCCTCGTTTTATGGTTCTGGAAACTCCAGGAACAGGGCGAGTTTCCTGGAAGGCCCAGAACAGGCCCAGAGGGACGAGGGTCCAGTCCACGGAGCACGTGAAGCCCCCCGGGAAACCCCCTGTGCTTCACAAGCAAAGATGGAAGGGCTGGTCCAGCACGAAACACGTGACATTGAACATAGAGGCTTTATTTACAATGAGACTCAAACAGGATGTAGCAAAAGATCCTCCTCCTCCATGTCTTCTCAGCATGGGCTGTACTTCATAACCAAAACAGGAAAACATCCTTGGGCAGGGGACTCCCTCCTCTGATGTGTCCCCTAAATCCCAAACAAGTCCGGTTCCCCAGCCTGGAGCAGGGTGGCTGGCGGGGGGGGGGCCTGGAGTCGGCAGCTGCACCCCCTCCTGCAGCCCCTGGGGAGCGCATCCAGGGGCAGCTTCAGGCTTTCACCTCGCTCATGGCCTCCATGAGGCGAGCGCTGTTGGTGACTGCTGTCGTCAGGAAAATGAACCTGAACCCTGAGGAGCCAAAAGCACCAGCCAGGTGAGTCCCAGCAGATCAGTGGCTCCCGTCACTGGCCCCGCTACCTAGAGCCCCTCCACAGCCCGGGCTGGGTCCAAGAACCAGTTCACGGGCGCAGAGGCATCGGTGCCACGCTCGGGGGCAGTGACTGGCCACGCCCTGGAGCTGGGCTCCTGCTCTCCAGCCCACAGCCAGTGGTACCCAGAGGGCAGCAGAGGACCTTCTCGAGTGCTGCCCTTTGCAGCCCAGAGCCCGCCCGCGGACCGGCTGTCACCCTTCCGCCCTCGCTCACCTTTCTCTCTGCCCAGGAACCGCAGGGCTGAGATCTCGGAGAAGGTGCAGCCCCCCAGGAACACCACCAGGATGAGGCGCAGGGACTCGCTGGGAGCCTTGTCATCCTTGGTCCCGCCTGTGGAGAGCAGACCAGACGCGGCTCTTTCTTTTTTGGTTTAATCCTCACGTGAGGATATTTTCCCATTGATTTTTAGGGAGATGGGAAGAGAGAGGGAAAGACCGAGAAAAACACACCGATTGGTTGCCTCCTGCATGAGCCCCGACCAGGGCCCGGGCCAGGGAGGAGCCTACAACTGAGGTACGTGCCCTTGACCGGAATCGAACCCAGGACCCTTGGGTCTGTAGGCCGACGCTCTAGCCACTGAGCCAAACCAGCCAGGGCCAGACTCAGCCCTTGCCTGGCACGCTGGCACCGGGGATGCGTCCAGCCGCCTCTGGCCCGCCGGCCCCGCTGCCAAGGCCACGCACCTGTGAAGGCCAGCTCGCTGCAGTTGAGCAGCCGCAGCACCTCGTCCAGGCCCTGCCAGCTCCGCCGCTCCAGCACCTGGGGGGGCACGAGAGTGAGTTTCATATCTAAGACAGGGTGGGGCTTATTATTTATTTTTTAAATATTTTTACTGATTTCAGAGAGGAAGGGAGAGGGAGAGAGAGAGAGAAACATCCGTGATGAGAGAGAATCATGGATCGGCTGCCTCCTGCACACCTGGGCATGTGCCCTTGACTGGAATTGAACCCAGAACCCTTCTGTCCGCAGGCCAACGCTCTATTCACTGAGCCAAACCAGGTGGGGCAACAGGATGGGGTTTAGAAAAGGAAGGTCGTGGCAGCCCAACCATCCCATTTCTTGCTAGTTAGCGGGGCAGTATAAACTTGGGTCAGACCAGGGCCCAGGAAAAAGCAGAGAGAGACACGCGTGGGAGCGAGGGTCACGTGTTCTCACCTGCTCAATGACGCGGCAGCTGAGGGGCACATAAGCGCCACTGAAGACATACGCCATGTCGCGTGGCACCTTCAGATCGTACTCGCCATCCACACGCGGGATCTAGAGGGCAAAGCAAGTGACAACTCAGCTCTCCGGTCGTTCACAGTGTCAGAGAGAAGTGGCGGGTCCCCAAGAACGGTTCTTCCTTCAACTAAAGGGAGAAGCAGCCACGGCCTGAAAAGAAGAGTCCAAACAAGATTCCGGCTGCTGTTCAGCACCCACCGATTTTCTTGACTGAGCTCCCACGCTCCCTGGGAAGTGCAGGAGGGAAGGGACCCCTCGCCGACGCCTCGGTGACATGGGACCTGTTTGTCACTGAAGCAGCACTTAGCCATCTCAGGTGCTTGCTACACGTTTCCTAACAGAATGAATCTGTGTGCCTTATCTCATCGGTACATGACGCCCATGCTATCACTCTATGAAAGATAGAATCTTGTTTTGTAATCCTCACCCGAGGATATTTTCCCATTGATTTTTAGAGAGAGTGGGAGGGGGAGAGAGAGAAACATCCATGTGAGAGACACATTGATTGGTTGCCTCTCACACAATCCCTGATGCGGGCCGGAGAGAAGCCTGCAACCAAGGTACGTGCCCTTAACCGGGAATAGAACCCATGGCCCTTCGGTCCGCATGCCCACACTCTAACCACTGAACCAAACCGGCCAGGGTGGTAGGATCTTGATAGAAACAAAAGATGCAAAGGTTTTTGCGGACTCAAAGTACTCCACCAAGGACCGAACCGGCACCCCCCCACCCCTATTCATCCCTGCTCCACATACCAAATTCAGCTTCTTGCTGATGGCACGAAAATTGCTCCTCTTGGCCAGAGAGCTGAAGGCATCAGTGATCTTTCCTGGGGAAGAAATCTGTGCTGGGTTTTATCTAAGGTCAACGGATTCATGAAACTGTCACATAGGATTCCATTCCGGAAACGACAGGCCCGCCTCTTGTCAAGTAGCCGGCCCCATCACATCTCTCAGCTGTTCACCCATAATTCCCTGGACCTGATGAGACGTTCACCACCCTCTCCCCACCCCTCTTCCTCCTCCTACAGGGTGCCAGCTCTGTACTAACTGCCACCTACAGGGCCAACATGTAAGTGTACAGGCTGTGGGGGCACAGTGACCTGGGGTCCAAGGTGACTTACTACCTGAGGGAACTTAGACAAGTCACTTATCCTCTCAGCCTCGGTTTCCTCATCTGTAAAATGGAGATAAAACTAACCTTCGTGAGGACTAAATGAGAAACCGTATCTAGAGGGCTTAGCACGCGGTGAGTGTCCAATAACCGGGAAGCGCTCCCCCTAGCGGAAGTGGCGGTAATGACAGTAACAGTAGGAATCGCGCTGTGCTTGCCGCTCGTCTCCCTCCCGGTGCTGCCTGTGCAGAGTGGAGGGTCGGGCTCCCTGTGCTCCGAGCTCACCTGCAGCCTTGTCTGTCACCAGCTTGCTCACTTTGCTCTCCACAGCGGTGAGGGTGTCCCCGGGGGCCTGCTCCGTCAGGAGCCCCGCGCGCCGCAGGTTGGAGAAGGTCAGCAGGTGCTCGGGGCCATAGCTCTGCAGGAAAGGCAGGCGAGTCTTTACTGAGCGCCCAGCAGGGGTCTAGCACAGTTTGGTGGCATGGAGGCGAGGCGAAGGAGGAAGGGAGGAGAGGGAGGAAGGGAGGAGGGGGAGGAGGGGGAGGCGGGGGAGGAGGGGGAGGCGGGGGAGGAGGGGGAGGCGGGGGAGGAGGGGGAGGAGGGGGAGGCGGGGGAGGAGGGGGAGGAGGGGGAGGAGAGGGAGGAGAGGGAGGAGGGGGAGGCGGGGGAGGAGGGGGAGGCGGGGGAGGAGAGGGATGGGAGGGTTGCGCAGTCTATGCCTTAAGGAGCTCATACTTGTTCGTGCGAAAGGTTTTCTTATCAGAAAGAACCAAACCCAGAAGAAAAGCAACATGAAACTCTTAAAGCCCAGAGAAAGCTACTGGTAGGGGATGGTGGGGGAGGCTTCACAGATGAGATACGACGTGACAGAAAGACCTGGAAGGAAGCTTGTCAATGCCTCACAAGGTGCTAAAGTGAGGGAGAGTGGGGGCGAGAACTCAGCCCCGGGCCCAATAGCTGAATTGTTCAGTGTTCCTGGCACCGGCCAGCACCGTGAGAAACGGGAGTGGGAAGGGTGTCTGCTGAAAGGTGACTGACTATCCGGAGAACCTCGGAGAGGGAGGCCAGATGGAGACAGATGGGGACAGGGACAGGAAAGGGGCCGTTTCTACTTTTGCCTCTTTCAAAAATGTCCAATGAGCCCTAGCCGGTTTGGCTCAGTGGACAGAGCGTCAGCCCGAGGACTGAAAGGTCCCAGGTTCGATTCCGGTCAAGGGTACATGCCTGGGTTGCGGGCTCAATTCCCAGTAGCAGGTGGCAACCGAACGATGATTCTCTCTCATCACTGATGTTTCTAACTCTCCCTCTCCCTCTCCCTTCCTCTCTGAAATCAATAAAAATATATTTTGCCCTGACTGGTTTGGCTCAGTGGATAGAGCGTTGGCCTGCGGACTGAAGGGTCCCAGGTTCGATTCCGGTCAAGGGCATGTACCTTGGTTGCGGGCACATCCCCAGTAGGGAGTGTGCAGGAGGCAGCTGATCGATGTTTCTCTCTCATTGTTGTTTCTAATTCTCTATCCCTCTCCCTTCCTCTCTGTAAAAAATCAATAAAATATATTTTTAAAATATCTTACCTAATAATAGACAAACATGTAAATTGACCTTCCCTCTGCTACACTCACCAGCCAATCAGGAGAGTAGGCAAATTAACCCAACTAAGATGGCAGTTAATTTGCATACATAGGTGCGAACCGGCGGAGCAAAGACTGAAGGCTCCAGCTGGAGCTGTGAAGATGGAAGGCTCTGGCTGGAGCGAAGGCCTGGGTCCCAGGTGCCAGAGGAAAACCGGTGCCGGCAGCCAGGGGAAGGGAAGGCCTATTGCACGAATCTCTTCGTGCAACGGGCCTCTAGTATGTGTGTGTGTGTGTGTATATATATATATATATATATTTTTTTTTTTTTTTTTTTTTTTTTAAATGTTCAATGAGCCCCCTCCATAAAGTTCCCTGACAAAGACATTCTTTTGAAGCCCTGGCTGGGTGGCTATTGGTTAGTGTCATCCAATACATCAAGGTTGTGGGTTCGATCCCGCTCAGGACACATACAAGAAGCAACCAGTGGATGCATAAATAAGCGAACCAACAAATCGATGTTTGTCTTTGTCTTTCTCTCCCACCCGCTCCCCCACTCCTCTCTTGCTAAAATCGACACATTTAAAAAGACATTCTTCTGGCCTTACCTGCAGATACTGTGTCTTCAGGGATCGGTAATCCTTGGGGATCAAACCTGAGGATAAGGGAAGACAAGAAAGGTTTGTGAGCCAGTTAAGGTGTCCTAAAACATACAGCCAAACCAACCAACCAACCAACCCTCTTCCCGCAAGAAAGCCTGAACCAGGAGGAATGATTCAGTAAACGATGATAACCTTGCCCCCTCCACAGATGATTCTAAACTGACTCTTCGATGTAAGCTTGCTCACTGGAAGACAAAGCCTGGATCGGAGAGGCAAGGAAGCGCCCCGAGTCACGGGGTCTGGGAAGGGTCACTGAAACGAATGCTAACTGTGGCGGGCATGAGGTGGGAGGCAGCAGGAGGAGGAGGCGGGACTTCCGGGCATCTCTCCCTGGCTATGGGCCAGTACTAGGGGCCCCTCCTACAGCTGTTGAGGAGCAGGAAGGGGTCACGTGGTTCCAAGGCCAGTCTTCGATGCGGTTCTCCACTGAGTTAAGGAGAAATGGGCTTCTGATCACCATAAAGGGGCCTCAGAATCAGCAAAGCCCTTCTCTGGGGAGAGAGCTCCCTTCAGGAATATTCACCAGTTGGAAGCCTTCAACAGGAAAAACAAGGTGCCATTAAAGGTTGCAGAGTTGGGCTTTGGGAAATGTTTATGAAATTGGTTGGCTGTCTCTTCTTCCTGGATTGCATCTTTTTTATTTTTTTCTCTTTTTTTAAAAATATATTTTATTGATTTTTTACAGAGAGGAAGAGAGAGGGATAGAGAGTTAGAAACATTGATGAAAGAGAAACATCAATCAGCTGCCTTTTGCACACCTCCCACTGGGGATGTGCCCGCAACCAAGGCACATGCCCTTGACCAGAATCGCACCTGGGACCTTTCAGTCCCCAGGCCGACACTCTATCCACTGAGCCAAACCGGTTAGGCTGGATTGCATCTTTTTTTAAAATTTAATACTAGAGGCCTGGTGCACGAAATTCATGCATGGGTAGGGTCCCTAGGCCTGGCCGGTGATCAGGGTCGATCAGGTTCACCGCCTCCCGGCCTCCCTGCCTCCTCCTCCCCTCACTCCCTCAGCACCCAGCTGATGCCGCTGGTCGCCCCCATGTTCTGCGCTGCTGCCTGGTGGTCAGCACACGTCATAGGGAGCGATCGAACTCCCAGTATCCTGCTCTGACTCCCGAGAGGACAATCTGCATATTAACCTTTTATTATATATAGGATATTTTTATTGATTTCAGAAAAGGGGGAGGGAGGGATAGAAACATCAATGATGACAGAGAATCATCGATCAGCTGCCTCCCGCACGCCCCACACTGGGGATCAAGCCCGCAACCAAGGTATGTGCCCTGACCGGGAATGGAACTGTGACTTCCCGGTTCATAGGTCGATGCTCAACCACTGAGCCACACTCACCAGCTGGACTGCATCTTTGTTATAAAACCTTGTTGAGGGTAGGAGGCCTGCTGCATCAAAGAGAAGTGTCACTCCGCTCTACACCTTTGTGATCCTAAGATGTGACAGCCCTTGTTTGGGGGGATGGGAGGGGGGGCTTGCATGTAGTCCTGCTTAGCGTGGGGACACTAATTTACCCTAAGACCTGGGGATGTTCACTCAAAAGGAAAACTGCTTTAATTCTACAGAGGAAAGAATCCACAAAATTACAGGGAACCCTAGCCGGTTTAGCTCAATGGCTAGAGTATCAGCCTGCAGACTGAAGGGTCTGGGTTCGATTCCAGCCAAGGGCACATTCCTGGGTTGCAGCTTGATCCCCAGTAGGGGGTGTCCAGGAGGCAGCTGATCAATGATTCTCTCTCATCATTGATGTTTCTCTCACTCTCTCCCTCTCCCTTTCCTCTCTGAAATCAATAAAAAAATATATTTAAAAAAAATTAATCCTTCAAAATTACAGGGAAGTGTCCTGTCCGCTAGGACATTTACTCCTGTCGCTCACGATGACTTCTATCCTCTGGTACAGTTCTGACCAGGCATCGCGGTGCTGGGGGCTCACCATTCTCGGTGATGGACAAGAGGCACATGAGGCGAAGGCTTTCTATGGGCGACACCTGCACAGGAAGGAACAGCCACGGAGGTTCAAGTTTCGTAACGCACGTTCTCCCCTCCCCTTCCTCCCGGAGGCCGGCCCCACGCAAGCACCGCCCTGCCCGCTGGCCGGCAGCTGCCCACCTGCCGGTCGATGTGCTCCTCGATGTAGCTGGTGCTGTCCCGGATGCTGAAGCCCTCCAGCAGCGCTGCGAGTAACCAGAGGACAGCCTGTTACCGGGAGCAGTGCGGCGGCTGCCGTCTAGGCTAACGGGCGTCTGTCTCCCCATCTCCTTCTCCATCCGGGATAAGGGGCCCCCAGGCGTCTAACAGGAACCCGCGTTCCACGCAGCCAGTGTGGGCTGGGCAGAGCCAGAGCACAGCTCCCCAGGGTGGACGGGGCTGGGAGCAGGCCGGCCGGTAGTCACCATGCTCGGTCTTGATGAGCTCCTGGAAGTCCTGCTTGGTCTTCTTCTTCATGATGGACTCACAGGCCCCGATGTCTGCAGAGAGGACAAAGCCAGCTGACACTCCTGGTTCCAGAAGGACATCCCTTTATTGTCCGGGAGAACAAAGACCTCAAGGCAGAAGCACTTCTCACTTTAGACCAGGGGTGGGGAACCGTTTTTCTGCCAAGGGCCATTTGGATATTTATTTTTATTTATTTATTTTAAAAGATATTTTTATTGATTTCAGAGAGGGAGAGAGACAGGGAGAGATAGAAATATCCTGCACGCCCCCTACTGGGGGATGAGCCCGCAACCTGGGCATGTGCCCTTGACCAGAATTGAATCCAGGACCCTTCAGTCCACAGGCCACGCTCTATACCACTGAGCCAAACCAGCCAGGGCCCAACTGGATATTTATAACATCATTTGCAGGCCAGACAAAATTATCAACTTAAATATTAGCCTGCTCTAGCCCTGGCTGGTCAAACAGTTAACTAACTCACCCCTAATGCCTGGGCAGGGCCAGACCAAATGATTTCACAGGCCTTAGAGGGCCCACGGGCCGGACGTCCCCCCCCCCCCCCAGCTTTAGACCAAACAAGAGCATCACCTGCCGGGTGAACAGGGATCTCCTCTCCGGAGGCAGATGTCCCGTCGCATCCCCCTCCCCAGCCCCAGCCCCCAGCCCCAACCCCCAGCCCCCAGCCCCCAGCCCCCAGCCCCCAGCCCCCAGCCCCCAGGCCCCAGCCCCCAGCCCCAGCCCCCAGCCCCCAGGCCCCAGCCCCCAGCCCCCAGGCCCCAGGCCCCAGCCCCCAGCCCCCAGCCCCCAGCCCCAGCCCCCAGGCCCCAGCCGAGACCTACGCAGACTCAGCAGGCGGTGCTCCTGCTTCAGGCCCTTCAGCTCCTGGGACACGAAGTTCTTCATCTGCTTGATGTCCATGCCTCGGCGGCGCTGCGGGCAGGTCCCAAGGTCACCACGGCCCTCCCAAGGTCACCACGGCCCTCCCAAGGTCACCACCGGCCTCCCTCGGCCCCCATCGGCCCGGGAAGAAAGCCTGGGACCCTGTCGTCGCATCAGAGCCTTGGGAAGCCCGGAGGAAACAGAACCACGGGCGGGCTCGGAGCCTCACGTCGTACTGGGCCTGCAGGTTCCGGGCCTTCTGGCTCAGGAAGCCGAAGACGTTGGAGAAGTGCTCGTTCCGAATCTCATGAAACACCTGGGAGGGGAACAGGACGGAAGGACTCTGTACAGGCCGGGCCTGGTCCTTCCTTCCCGTCAAGGTCGCGGCAGCACAGGAAGGGTGCTCAGCGGTTCCAGCAAGAGGGAGAGGAGAGCCAAGCCGGCAGCAGGCAGCGACGTCAATGCCTGCTACGTGCCCTGGGGCACACACTTTTTTTAAAGTTATCTTTTGAATGAATGAATGAATGAATTGAATTTTTTGTTAATCCTCTCTCGAGGGTATTTTTTCCATTGACTTTTAGGGAGAGTGAAAGGAAGGAGGAGAGACAGAAAGAGAAACATCGATGTGTGAGAGATGCCCTAACCCAGTGGTTGGCAGACTGCGGCTCTTTGGCCCCTTGAGTGTGGCCACGAAGTTTCAATCTCACTGTACGTGAGCGCCTGCACGTGGTACAGTGGGGCCTTGACTTAGGAGTTTAATTCGTTCCGAGACCGAGCTCATTAAGGAGCTCGTTAAATCGGCCAAGAGACAGCTGGTATCTCAAAAAACTCGTAAGTCAAGGCCCCACTATATTTTGTGGAAGAGCCACACTCAAGAGGCCGCAGTTTGCTGACCACTGCCCTAACCCTCCCTCGGGTGGGGGATCAAGCCTGCACCTGAGGCAAGTGCCCTTGACCGGAATCAAACCTGGAACCCTGCAGTCCGCAGGCCGACACTCTATCCACTGAGCAAAACCGGCCAGGGCCTGGGGTACGCTCTTAACTGGTGGAGGTCCCTCTGTCCTGTGGACTCAGCTTTCCCCCGCCAGGGCGGTGCCCCTGCCGTGTGGGAGCAGAGCCCGGGGAGACCCACTGCCGCACCCGCACCCGCACCTTGTCCTCGGCGTTGAGCAGCACCTTCAGGCTCTTGTCAGAGGATGTGACTTCTGGGCCAAAGTCGACGCTCCCTTTGAGAGCAAGGGGACAGCGATGAGGGTCTCCCCCGAGGCCTTCCCTCTCCTGCCCCTCCCAGCACTGCCATTAAAGGGCCTCCGCACGATTTGAAGCCGCAGTTCTCCCAGTGCCTGGGTGCCCCCCCGCCAGCCCCGTGCCACGCAGGAGCCCCAGGAGCCGAGGGCCCCTCCATCTCGCCAGGATGCCACTCACCACACTTGATGCGGAACGTGTCGTCCACCAGGCCCTCGTAAACCACCTGGGAGCACAGTGCCGTCACAAAGTCCACGTCTGAAACCCAGAGCCCTGACCGTGAGGCCCCCTGCCACAGCCTGCTGCCCAGGTCGCTCAGTATGAGGGCCAGTGCCTTCCCCAGGCCCGGGTGCCAGGCCCCCAACCAATGCTGCACGCACCGCCCAGCCTGAGGGTCCCGTCTGTGCCACCACATCACACTCCCGTTGCTTCTGGGCCCAGAGAGAGAGGAGTGCCAGCATGAGTTACCTCTGTCCAGGAGGAAGATGTGGCCAATTTCTGGCTTCCGGCCTTTGGTTTCACTGTCCTCCTCCTCCTCCAGGTTCCTCCACAATTCATGTGACATCTGCCAGGGACCAAGACATTCTTTTTTTCCCCCCCAAAAAATTCTTAATTTTGTTTTGTTTTCATTATACTTTTAAAAACTATATATATTTTTTATTGATTTCAGGCAGAGGAAGGGTGATGGAAAGAAAGAGAGAAACATCAATGATGAGAGAGAATCATGGATGGGCTGCCTCCTGAACGCTCCCTACTGGGGACCGAGCCTGCAACCAGGACCTGTGCCCTGACTGGGAATCGAACTGTAACTTCCTGGTTCATAGGTCGATGCTCAACCACTGATCCAAAATTATACTTTCTTATTTTGAGATATGTATAGACTCACATGCAGTTGTAAGAAATACAAGACATTCTTGCCCTGACCAGGTAGCTCAGCTGGCTAGAGCATCGTCCCAATATGCCAAGGTTGTGGGTTCGACCAATGAAGACATAAATAAGCGAAGTACCAAAAAGATGTTTCTCTCTCTCTCAAATCAACAAACTAAAAAAAAGAGAGACATTCTTTTTTTGTTTTTGTTTTGTGTTTTTTTTAATTATTTATTTATTTATTTATTTATTTATTTATTTATTTATTTATTTAATTTTATTGCTTAAAGTATTACAAAGGGTATTACCTATGTGTCCATTTTTTCCCCCCGCCCTAGACAGTCCCCTAGCCTCCCCTATCCCCCAGTGTCTTATGTCCATTGGTTATGCTTATATGCATGCATACAAGTCCTTTGGTTGATCTCTTACCCCCCTACCTCCTGCCCCCCAACCCTCCCCGGCCTTCCCGCTGCAGTTTGACAATCTGTTTGAGGCAGCTCTGCCTCTGTATCTATTATTGTTCAAAAGATTATAATGGAGAGAGACATTCTTAATCTTGTGTTCAAGTCCCTCCCGTAGCCCCACACCTACAGAAGCCAACCCCTTTCCCGGGGACTTACTGATCCCAGGAGGGGAGCTAATAATTAACAACATTACCTACTCTGGCCCCATCTGTCCCTATCTCTCCCCGTCCATCCCCATTCCAAAGATAAAGAGATTCAGGAATGCTGCCCGGCTGGTGTGGCTCAGTGGTTGAGCGTCGACCTATGAACCAGGAGATCACGGTTCAATCCCATTCAGGGCACATGCCTGGGTTTTGGACTCGATCCCCAGTGTGGGGCGTGCAGAAGGCAGCCGATCAATGATTCTCTCTCATCATCGATGTTTCTCTCTCTTTCTATCCCTTCCTCTCTGAAATCAATAAAAATATACTTTAAACAAAAAGAGATTCAGCAAAAACAGATCCAGAGACAGAGAAGCATCGATCAGACCGTCAAACCTCAGAGGGAAGGTAGCGGGTGGTGGTAAGGGAGAGAGATCAACCAAAGGACTTGTATGCAAGCACATAGGCCCAACCAATGGACACAGACAACAGGGGTTGAGGGCATGAGTGGGGGGGATAGGGGGTAATGGGGGGATAAGGATACATATGTAATAACTTAAAAAAATAAAAAAAAAAGAGAGATTCAGGAATGCTGCCCAAGAGGCCCTAGCTCAGGGGTGGGCAAACTTTTTGACTCGAGGGCCACAATGGGTTCTTAAACTGGACCTGAGGGCCGGAACAAAAGCATGGATGGAGTGTTTGTGTGAACTAATATAAATTCAAAGTAAACATCATGACATAAAAGGGTACGGTCTTTTTTTTTTTTAGTTTTATTCATTTCAAACGGGCCGGATCCGGCCCGCGGGCCGTAGTTTGCCCACGGCTGCCTAGCTCTTGCGTCTCTGTTAGCCACACCAGCTCCCATCTCTGAGAACTATGTTGCCACAAGGAAAGCAAGGAAGAGACTATACCTCCTGTCACCGACGCCCCGGGCAGTGGACAGTCCATGTGGGGGAGAGCAGGTGCAACAGGCCCTGCCAGCGCTCACCTTGGCGCACCTGCCGATCCCGTAGCAGTTCGGAAAGGGGCCGTAGAGAGTGCTGAGGAGGTGCAGGGCCTGGGCCACAGTGTTGATCCAGCGCTGGTCTCCCTCCTGCAGGGACCACGGGGGCCACAAAGACGGGGGTCAGCCGGACAGAGCCATCAGGACGGCGCTAGCCCTGGAGCCCGGGGACAGAGGCAGGGCGCGGGGAATGCTTGAAGGAGTTCCTGTGACTGGCCCCAAAGGACACAATCAGTGGCGTTCAATCTCCCAATCACTCTCATGCATAATAAATGACGGGACTGCCCTAGCCAGTTCGGCTCAGTGGCTAGAGCATCGGCCTGCAGACGGAAGGGTCCCGGGTTCAACTCTGGTCAAGGGCACATGCTTGTGTTTTGGGCTCGACCCCCAGTTGGGGCGAAGGAGGCAGCCGATCAATGATCTTTCTCATCATTGATGTTTCTGTCTCTCTCTCTCCCTCTCCCTTCCTCTGAAATCAATAAAAATATATTTAATAAATAAATAAAATATTTTTTTTAATGTATTTTATTGATTTTTCACAGAGAGGAAGGGAGAGAGAGAGTCAGAAACATCGATGAGAGAGAAACATCGATCAGCTGCCTCCTGCACATCCCCCACTGGAGATGTGCCCGCAACCCAGGTACATGCCCTTGACCGGAATCGAACCTGGGACCCTTCAGTCCACAGGCCGACGCTCTATCCACTGAGCCAAACCGGTTTTGGCATAAATAAAATATTTTTAAAAAAATTACGGGACTTGGATGAAGGTGCGTCAATATTGCTAGCCCACTGGACCCCTGTTTGTCCCCTGTTTGTCCCCAGCCGTCGAGGCCGCGCCCAAGGGCCCCGCCTTTACCAGGAAGTAGTCCCTGAAAAATTCAGGGAGCTCCATGCTCAGCAGATCCACATCGAGAGGCAGCAAAGAGAAGGCCCATTCGTCGCAGCTCACATCTGTGGGGACAGAGACATCAGCCTCCCCGCAGAAGGCCCGGGGCTCCCCCTTCAGGGGAAGGCCCACCGGTTGCCTAGAGACGTCTGGGCGCCTCCCCAGGCCTGCACTGCGCTGAGCGCGGAGCTCAAAACGCAAGCAAGACACAGCCTGACCCCCGAGGAGCTCAGAGCTGGTGACAAAAGGAGGCGTGTACACGACGGCCTGTCATACGATGTGACAAGGGCTGTGTTTTCATTATAAGGAAACATTCATTCCTGACTCGGCAAATACCAATGGAATGGCAGGCGTGCAGGCACTGGGGTACACAGTGGGGAAGAGAATGAATGTGCCCAGTGTCCTGGGGAGACCCTTACAGTCTAGTGCAGTGGTTCTCAACCTTCTGGCCCTTTAAATACAGTTCCTCATGTTGTGACCCAACCATAAAATTATTTTCGTGGCTACTTCAGAGCCGTAATGTTACTACTGTTATGAATCGTCACGTAAATATCTGATATGCAGGATGGTCTTAGGCGACCCCCGTGAAAGGGTCGTTTGACCGCCAAAGGAGTCGCGACCCACAGGTTGAGAACCGCTGGCCTAGTGGGCGAGACACGCACCAGGCAGATCTAATTACAGTTGTGCCCCAACCCATCCATGAGCACAAACACCTCAGGGTCTAACCTCACACCGGGGTGCAGGACAGACTTCCCTAAAGCAGTGACTTTTAGGCTGCGACTGTAAATAAGATGTGGGCGGTGCAGAGTGTAGGGTGGGGAATATTCTGGGCAACAGGAGAAGTGTGACGTCCCCATGGCAGGAGGGCAGTGAGTCAGGAGAAAGGAAGCGCATGTGACAGGCAAGGGGCCGGGAAGGGACCAGGTGGCAGAGGCGGGAGGCCGCGGGAGGACCCGGGCTTTCTCCTGGCCACTGGAGGCGCCTGAGGGGGTGCTGCCCGCAGGTGGGTGTTGCGTGGAGAACGCAGTGAGCGATACACAGGGAGGGAAGGCACAGTATTTCCCTGTGGGAGTCTTGGGAGGTAAGGACAGAGCAGTTGGCGGTTAGCAGCGATAAGCCCTTGCATCCTCTCCCACCGTCCCCCTGCTTCCATGCTCAGGCACCTCTCCTCCCGCTGGGCCAGCAGGAATGAGACAGGAGGGGAGGGGAGGGGTCGGGGCGGGGGAGGACACTGTTCCTTCTGCATATGCAGCCCTTTCCACTCTCTCATCTCCTCTCACCTCCATAGATCCCCTCTTCCTCAAGCACCATCTCACAGGCATAAAACTGAAAGAGAAAAGGAAGCCGGTTAGCAAACACCCCTGCTCTCTTCTTTCCATCCTTGGAGTTCCTCCAGGATCACTGACAGGACAACACTGACTGACCCAGTAAAGAGAACCCAGACGCTTGGATCTAGAAAGGGCACCGGGCCCAGCCGACATGGCTCAGTGGTTGAGCGTCGACCTATGAACCAGGAGGTCACGGTTCGATTCCCGGTCAAGGGCACATGCCGGGGTTGCGGGCTCATCCCCAGTGTGGGGTGTGCAGGAGGCAGCCGATCCATGATTCTCTCTCATCGTTGATGTTTCTCTCTTTCTCTCCCTCCCCCTTCCTCTCTGAAATCAATAGTAATATATTAAAAGAAAGAAAGAAAGAAAGAAAGAAAGGAAGGAAGGAAGGAAGGAAGGAAGGAAGGAAGGAAGGAAGGAAGGAAGGAAGGAAGGAAGAAAGGAAGGGCACTGGAATCACGGAGCCCAACTCTTTGTTCCCTGGAAGAGCTCTGCAAAGGAGAAGGGGCCGCAGCTGTCACGGAAGGGCCATGCAGAGGCCGGCTCTCACATCCCACCATCTGTACTCGGGGCGGCTTGCCCACAGACCCCCTGCTACACAATCAGGCCTACACTAACGAGGCAGCAGCAGGTGGTCGTCATCACACATCTGCTTTCAGGGAGCTGGAGCTGTGGGCCCCTGGCCCCTTCCCCGCCCGAACCCTGTCCTGCCTGACGCCACTGCCATCGGGACCCAAACTCACCTTCTGAGGGCTGAAGATCACTTTGTATTTTCGCGTTCGGCCGGCCAACTTGTCAGCATTGACGAGATCTGCAGGCAGAGGGAATGCAACCCAGAAAGCCGTGGGCCACGTGTCAGGTGAGAAGCAAGGTAGCAGTTACCCTTTTATTTATTTATTTATATATATATATTTTTAAAATATATTTTTATTGATTTGAGAGAGGAAGGGAAAGAGAGGGAAACAAACATCAATGATGAGAGAGAGTCATTGACCGGCTGCCTCCTGCACGCCCCCTACTGGGGATGGACCCCGTAACTCAGACATGTCCCTTGACCGGATTCGAACCTGGGACCCTTCAGTCGGCGGGCCGGGGCTCTATCCACTGAGCCACACCCACTAGGGCTCCTTTTTTTAAAATTCTTTATTGTTAGAAGTATTACATGTTTCCTTTCCCCCCATTGACCTCTCCCCACCTGCTCCTGCCCCCCAGCACAGGCTCTCACCTCCCCACTGTCTGTGTCCACAGGAGCAGTTGTCCTCAACGTGGCATGGCCAACCCCAGTGCCTCTTCGCTTATGAAAGCGTCCCTGTGGCCGAGGCCCTTAGATCTCACCCCCCGCCCCCAGGTCTTAGTGACACGGCGCACCACGCCATACTCACTGGCTATGTATCGCATGTTCTTGATGCGGGGTCTGACCAAGAAACACAATCTATGGGAGAAAAAGGGGAGAAACTCAGCGAAGGGAAGTCATGAGGTTGGCGACAGACAGCACCACCCGAAGAAACTGAAACAGCACCCCACTCTTTCACCATCTGCTCCTCTCGCCCGGCCGACCGTTCCCAGCCTCGCCACAGCCGGGCCTGCTCTGACCACGGACTCCCCTCCCGACAGCAGGGACACTGTGCCCAGCATGTGGCCCCTCTGGGGTACCCGGAGCTCCTGTTCTCAAATAATTTACAATCTGTCAGGCGAAATAATATGCACACATGTATAAAGTACCAGACACGTGTTTAAAAACAATACAGAAACTTGTCTGGACAGCATGGCTCAGTGGTTGAGCATCGACCTAGGAACCTGGAGGTCACAGTTCGATTGCTGGTCAGGGCACCTGCCTGGGGTGCAGGCTCGATCCTCAGTGTGGGGCGGGCAGGAGGCAGCCCGTCAATGATTCTCTCTCATCATTGATGTTTCTCTCTCTCTCTCTCCCTTCCTCTCTGAAATCAATAAAAACATATTTTTTAAAAATACAAGAAGGTATATAAAATGTTTTGCTAGCCCTAGCTGGTTTGGCTCAGGGGATAGAGCGTTGGCCTATGGACTGAAAAGTCCTGGGTTTGATTCTGGTCAAGGGCACATGCCCGGGTGGCAAGCTTGATCTCCAGTGGGGGGCATGCAGGAGGCGCTGGATCAGTGATTCCCTCTCATCATTGTTGTTTCTGTCTCTCCCTCTTCCTTCTTCTCTGAAATTAATAAAAATATATATTAAAAATAAATAAATAAATAAATAAATAAAATGTTTTTCTAACTTGGATGTATTCTCCATGTACCCAGAATTTTTCCTCTAAGGGAGGGTGTATATTACTTAAGATTGAAAAGTATTAAAAAGAAAAACAGTCCTGGCTGGTGTTGCTCGGTGGTTAGAGTGTCGGCCCAGGCACCGAAGCGTCTCGGGTTCGATTCCCGGTCAAGGGCATGTACCCAGGTTGCCGGTTCGATCCTAGGCCCCGGTCAGGGCTCATGCAAGGAGGCAACCAATCGATGTGTCTCTCTCACATGGATGTTTTACTCTCTCTCTCCTCTGTCTCTCTGTCCTTCCCTCCCTCCTTTCCACTCTCTCTGAAAAAGCAATGGAAAAAATATGTTCTGATGAGGATTTAACTAAAAGAGAAAAGAAAAGAAAAACAAAAAGCAGACAACAGGCAGTGTGTGACAGATACTAAAAACACCCTGGAGATCCAGAGGGGGAAGGCTTCATGGAGGAGGTGGCACTGGGGTCTGAGGGTATGTCTTACAGGAGCAGTGAGGACAGGAGGGAATTTCAAGGCAGAGTGAATGGAGTGGCCAGAAGGGGAATGCCACACGCATGTAGCTGGGAAGCATGTGAAAGCATGTGTCCAGCGGAGGCTTGAGGGCCCCGTGAGAGACCAGGCTGCCAAGGCAGTGCGAGGCCCAACTGAGGATTCCCTCGGCTTCCACCATGAGCAATCTGCACTTGACTCGGTAAGAGAAGACTTGGTGGTTCTTGAGAAGAGCACGGTGAAAAATATTTATTTTTTTAAAATGTATTTTTATTGATTTCAGAGAGGAAGAGAGTGGGAGAGAGAGAGAGAGAAACATCAATGATGCGAGAGAATCACTGATCAGCTGCCTCCTGCCTCCTGCACGCCCCCTACTGGAGATCGAGCCCAAAACCCAGGCATGTGCCCTGACTGGGAATCGAACCGTGACCTCCTGGTTCATAGGTCGACGCTCAACCACTGAGCCACACCAGCTGGGCAAAGAAAATAGTTTTGAAAGCTTCATCAATCAGACTGGATGAGAGAGAAGAGGACAAGGGAGGAAGAAACCGCAGAAAGGAAGACGGGACAAGGGGCTAAAGCATAACCTCTCATGCAACTGTCCAAGGGCAGGGAGGGGAACCGTATCACAAGCATCATGCTGCCAGATCCCAGCCACGGACGCATCAGGGGCAAAGTGCAGGGACATCCCCCGGCTTGGAGGCGAGCCGGACGCCCCAGACACTCACTGTTCACTGGAGCTCAGGACTGGCTTGTTCTCCACCTTGTACAGCTTGTCTACTTCGTGTTGCTGCCGAGAGAAGCCAACAAGACAAGGGACACAGAGTGCTTGGAAACCCACAGCATGACCCAAAAGCAGGGACGTGGGCACCTAGTCAAGCTAATTCTGGGGATCAAACTGCCTCCCTGACAACCATTCACCGAACCTTCCCCAAACTGTCAACAGAAAAACCAAAAATAAGACAATTCAAAAACAACAGACAATAGCATCCATTCCAGCTACCCTCTATTTACCCTACAACGGTAGTCGCTCTTTAATAATGTGTACTGTTCATCAAAAGATGCTGAAACCGGTTTGGCTCAGTGGATAGAGCATCGGCCTGCGGACTGAAAGGTCCCAGGTTCGATTCCGGTCAAGGGCATGTACCTGGGTTGCAGGCACATCCCCAGTGGGAGATGTGCAGGAGGCAGCTGATCAATGTTTCTCTCTCATCGATGTTTCTAACTTTCTATCTCTCTCTCTTCCTCTCTGTGAAAAATCAATAAAATATATTTTAAAAAAAAGAAAAAAGAAAAACTGGCCAGACAGGCGTGGCTCAGTGGTTGAACATCGACCTAGGAACCAGGAGGTCAGGGTTCGATTTCTGGTCCGGACACATGCCCGGGTTGTGGGCTCGATCCTCAGAGGGGGACTTACGGGAGGCAGCCGATTGATGATTCTCTCTCATCATTGATGTTTCTATCTCTCCCTCCCTCTCCTTCCTCTCTGAGATCAATAAAAAATATATTTAAAAAAAGAAAGAAAAACTGCTTAATGAGGAAAGAATCTGCCTGGAGGAAAGGGCAGGTACCTTTAGGATGGAGACGCTGGCGATTCGATCCAAAGGGCTCATGAGATCGGCCTCAATGAACAAGTCCTTTTTTCCTGGAAGCTGAAGACACACAGTAAGTAGCATCCTGGGTCAGTCCGAGGTCACACACACTCCCGCGCTGACAGCTCACGCGGCCACACGTCTACCAGAACCCCAGTCTCGGAGCTGGAAGGGCGCCAGACATCATCTACCCCGGCGCCTGGCTTACTGTTGACATCATATCAATAGCTGACATTTCTCTATATACGCACCTATTTCGTCTTCTCATTTTCTGCACCAGCAGAAAAATATTTCACCTTCTTTCTAAGGTTAATTCCTTGTCACGCAGCCCTCCTGCTGGCCTGTGACCTTGTCCTGGGTCACTGCCCGCTTCTCCACCGCCTCCTCCACTCAGCCTCCCCATGACCCCCGTCTCCTGCTGGACGAAGCCAAGCAAAACCAAACCCCACCCACACCCCACAACCCCTTGAACTGCCAGATCTGGATCTTTTTTTTAATCCTCACCCGAGGATATTTTTCCATTGATTTTAGAGAGAGTGGAAGAGAGAGGGAGAGACAGAGAGAAATACTGATGTGAGAGAAACACATCGATTGGTTGCCTCCTGCACTCGCCCCGACCAGGGCCTGGGCCGAGGAGGAGCCTGCAACCGAAGTACGTGCCCTCGATGGGAACTGAACTTGGGACCCTTCGGTCTGCAGGCCGACGCTCTATCCACTGAGCCACACCGACCAGGGCCCAAATCTCTTTTTAAGTAGCATTTTCCTTCTAATTACAGAAACTGCCTGTGTTCAACACGGAAGAGTTAGCCCAGGGCAGTCCTCTCCCTAGTATCCCCCACTCACCCACCCCAGACCCCTGTATCTGATTCCGGCATCACCACTCCTAACACTCCCTCACCTGGCCAGGGAAGGCGAGGTCACACTGAGTGGCAGGGGCGAGGGAAGCCATTTCAAGCTTCCTCTCAACGAGGCCTGGACAAGTGTGTGTGGGAGGTGGGGTGGGGTGGGGAGGGTGGGTGGTGGTGGCAGTGACTCAGTTAGAGGGTAATCCAGCAAAGGATGGGGAAAGAGAACAGGCTGAACCGCAAGATCAAAGCCAGCAATTCAGGTGGGCTGATGCATAAGGTACATAGGGGGCAGTGGTTTTCAGTCCGGATGTAGGGGAAGGGTGGAAAGCAAGACTGAAACAGTTGTTAGAGAATCTGGAATTGATTCTCTATGGAATGGGGCAGGGGACGGGTGTGTGTGTGTGTGTCTGTGTGACTTTTGTGCACTGATGCATCCTATCAGCTGGGAATGTCAGGTAGGTGAACTTGGGACTTGTGGGTAAAAGGGATTGGAGCCAAAACCGGTTTGGCTCAGTGGATAGAGCGTCGGCCTGCGGACTGAGAGGTCCCAGGTTCGATTCCGGTCAAGGGCATGTACCTGCGTTGCGGGCACATCGCCAGTAGGGGGTGTGCAGGAGGCAGCTGATCGATGTTTCTCTCCTATCGATGTTTCTAACTCTCTATCTCTCTCCCTTCCTCTCTGTAAAAAATCAATAAAATATATTAAAAAAAATAAAAAATAAATAAAAGGGATTGGAGACAGGAGAAAACTGGAGGCAAGGGGTCCACTTATGGGGTTGCTGCCACAGTCCTCGCAGCCCAAGCGTGTGGCAGTGAATGAGGACCTGCTTTCGGCTGGCTGGTGGTGTGAACAAAAGACGTTATTCAAGAGACACATGGAGTCCGGCCAGTGTGGCTCAGCGGTTGAGCATCGACCTATGAACCAAGAGGTCGAAGTTCGGTTCCTGGTCAGGACACATGCCCAGATTCTGGGTTGCCCAGGAGGCAGCTGATCAATGATTCTCTCTCATCATTGATGTTTCTGTCTCCCTCTCCCTTCCTCTCTGAAATCAATAAAAAAATATATATTTTTAAAAAGACACATGGAATGTGTAATAGGGTTTTTTTAATACTTGAAAGAAATGAACAGTGTTAACAGTGCTTGTATCTGATGGCAAGATTATAGTGATTTTTTTCCTTTATCCTTTCCTTTATCTTGTACATTTCCTATAACGTGCAGTATTTTTATAATCACTATTATTAAAAAGTCAGGTGGCAGGAAATATCCATAGGGCTCAGGAACTTATTCAGTTAAGTGTGAGAGGGGAAGGAGGTTCACCTGAATAGCAACGCCCATTAAGAAGCATTAAGACCCAAGAAGCACCCTACCGGTTTGGCTCAACGGATAGAGCGTCACCCTGCGGACTAAAAGGTCCCAGGTTCGATTCCGGTCAAGGGCACATGCCCGGGTTCTGGGCTTGATCCCCAGGAGAGGGTGTGCAGGAGGCAGCCGATCCATGATTCTCTCTCATCATTGATGTTTCTATGTCTCTATTCCCTCTCCCTTCATCTATGAAAGCAATAAAAATATATTAAAAAAGACACTAGAAGCTAGTTAGAGGAGGATACTGGAGCACTGAAACCCACGGGGGCCGTGTTGAGTTGTCTTGTGGCCACTCGTCCCCACCGACACTGCGTTTACAAGTTTCTCTCCTTGGTCTCATTTGCTCTTTGATGTGGCTCTCACCTGAGCTAGTGGCTTTAACAATAGCATCTCTTCAATTCCTGACATTTGTTGAGAGTAACTTTCATGTGCAAGTCAGGGCACGTAAAAAAGAAGTAAAATATGGCCCCAAATCCCCTGAGTTTCTCTCAAGTCCCCATCTGCCTCCCGGCTGCAGCTCTACATTTCCATCTGCTGGACGTTACCAGCAGTATTTCCCACCAGCGTCTTACCTTCACCCTATCCAAACCCAAACTAACGAGCTTTCCCCCCACCAAACCTGTTCCTCTTTCTAATTCCTTTGTTTAAAAAATATTTTTTAAATTTTATTTCAGAGAAGAAGGGAAAGGGATAGAGAGAGAGGGACATCAATGATGAGAGAGAATCATGGATCGGCTGCCTCCTGCACGCCCCCCACTGGGGATCGAGCTGGCAACCCAGTCATGTGCCCGGATTGGGAATCGACCTGTGACCTCCTGGTTCATAGGTCGACACTCAACCACTGAGCCACGCTGGCCAGGCTCTAATTCTTTTTTTTTCTCATTTCCATTCAGTGTTCATACAGCAAGTATTTATTAAGCCCATGCCACGTGCCTGACTCCAAGCAAGGCACTCACGGGGTAGATAGTGTTAAAACAGACACGTTCCCTGTCCTCAAGGCCCTTCCAGCCTAGTGGGGAATATGGACATTAAACAAGTAACTATGTATGTCACAGTGATATTTACAATGATGGCAGCATTATTTTCCTGTTACCCCAAGTTTACCATCTCACACTCAGCTTTGCTTCTCCCTCAGCCTTTACCACCATCAATAAGCCTTTGAATCTTCTCTCACCATGACTTAAAATTCCATCATTCCCCTCCAGTCCCCAGGTCACTAATTCTGTTTTTTTGTGTTTTTAAAAATATTTTTTTTATTGATTTCAGCGAGGAAGGGAGAGGGGGAGAGAATGGAAACATCAATGATGAGAGAGAATCATGGATCGGCTGCCTCCTGCACGCCCCCTACTGGGGATGGAGTCCGCAACCCAGGCATGTGCCCTTGACTGGAATCGAACCTGGGACCCTTTAGTCCACAGGCCGATGCTCTATCCACTGAGCAAACCAGCTAGGGCCCCATGTCGCTAATTTTGTACGGGCCTTTATTACCTCAGTATGATCTATGGTCTCCAAATGGGCCTTCTAGTTGGCCATTTACTCGCCTCCACACATGGCTATTAGAATCATCTTCAAGAATTGCTTCATGCATGGCTACCATCAACAAATCAACAAACGACAAGTGCTGGGAGGATGTGGAGAAAAGGGAACCCTCATGCACTGCTGGTGGGAATGCAGGCTGGTGCAGCCACTATGGAAGACAGTATGGAGTTTCCTCAAAACATTAAGTATGGAACTGCCATTTGACCCAGTGATCCCACTTCTAGGAATATATCCTAAGAAACCCGAAACACCAATCAGAAAAAAATGGATGCACCCCTATGTTCATAGCAGCTCAATTGACAATAGCTAAGATCTGGAAACAGCCCAAGCGCCATCAGTAGACGAGTGGACAGAAAAGCCGTGGTACATTTACACCATGGGATACTACGCAGCAGTGAAAAAGAAGGATCTCTTGCCCTTTGAGACAGCATGGAGGGACCTGGAGAGTATCACGCTAAGTGAAATAAGTCAGTCAGAGAAAGACAAATATCCCATGATCTCACTCATGTGTGGAATCTAATGAACAAAATAAACTGATGGATGGAGTGGATCTAGAGACATGGAGTGGGGTGGTGAGTGCCTGGGGCAGTGGGCAGGGGTGGGCTGGAGGTCTATGGGGGAGCAAAGGGGGCATATGTAATACTTTCAACAATAAAGATTTTTTTAAAAAGAACTGCTTCATGCCACAGATGGGGAAAAATTCTTGCCTATTGTGTAACTTGTGATCACTCTCTTCCCTGAACATGCCTCCTCCTTCCCTGGTTCCTCCATCTTGCTCCTACCCATCACCTGCGGGGAACATGGTCTCCCATCTCCAAGAAAAAATAGGCTTATTTTTCACATTCCAGCTCCTTGAAACGCCTAGATCACTCCAGCTGGAACCGATGGCTTATTCTGATCGCTTCAGGCACCCTAGCTGTCACTCATTCACCGCGATACCCCGTGTGGGGTGGTTTGTGTTTCCTAGGGCTCCTCCTGGAGTGTGAGCGCCCTAATAACAAAGATGTCCTGCCCTAACCGGTTTGGCTCAGTGGACAGAGCGGCGGCCTGCAGACTGAAGGGTCCCAGGTTCGATTCAGGTCAAGGGCATGTATGTACCTTGGTTTCGGACACATCCCCAGTGGGGGGTATGCAGGAGGCAGCTGATCGATGTTTCTAACTCTTTATCCCTCTCCCTTTCTCTCTGTAAAAAATCAATAAAATTTTTAAAAAGGAAAAAAAATACATAAAAAAAAGTGTCTTAACCACCTTTCACCCCAGTGATGCCTGGCACTAGGGTGTCTCCCATGCCAGCATGGGAAAAAGTGATTTCCATGGGCTCTCTGGTTTTCCGCCCCGAGCACTTCCTTTTGGGCCTCCAAGGACAACACCCAAGACCAAGAACACGCTCAAGGGATTCACAGAAGAACTACGCGTCCGGCGAGCGCAGTAGAGGGCCCGGCGCGGCGGGCACTGACCTGCTCCAGCAGATAGATGAGCTGGTCCCGGGCCAGCCTCTTGAGCATGGAGAAGTCAGGCAGCTCTGGGGCGTCCGGCCGGTGGGGGAAAGCCATGGCCGCGGTCACCTGAGCCGCGGGGTGTCCGAAGAGGGTCGCCCTCCGCTCTCGGAAGGCCGGCACAGCCCCGGGTAAGCGCAGGGTGGCTCCTTCAAGGCCGGGCACGGAAGGGGCCCTCACGCTTCAGCTGCGCTCCAGGAATGAATGGCCACCTCCGGGCCAGACAGCGGCAGCCTCGGGACACCCTCGCCCCAGGCCGGCCGCCCGCCCCCCAGTCCCGACTCGGCCCTCCCTGCTCCACTCCGCCGGCGAGCGGGATTCCGGGCTTCCCTGCTGCAGAGAGAACACCGCCTTCTGACAGGCAGGAGCGACTTCCGGGACTTTCCGGAAGTCCCATTCGCTCGACCGGCGCTTTGTGTGCTGGGAAGTTGGACGGTGTCCGGGAAGGAACATTTAAAGCGGAAGTCAACGCGCTCACGTTCCAGTGTCCTTTCTGGCCTGAGCGGAGTGTTCCTGTGATAAAACCAGTGTTGAAGGGCACACTCAATTCTCCCAGCGCACCCACGCGAGGGTTGGGCACTTGCTCGAGTTTCTTATCTTCGTACAATGGGTGAAACCAATTAAAGCTGTAGGGCGCTGATCATTGGGGATCTTTACTTCAATCAAACCTACTCCTCCAGCCTTCAGAGCTGCAGGAGAGATGCGGGCAGATGGAGGTGGAATTAGGTGGAGGGAAGAGAAGAATGCTAAGTCCCGCTGGCTGTGACCTTTGGGTACTGGAATTTTGACTTATTAATGCCATTCGTGGGAAAATGGGTAAACAAACTGGCATGTTCATAAAAATAAATGAAAGAAGCCAGAACAAGAGTGGCATCAGTATGTCATTTATGTAAGGTTATAGAGCAGGCCAAACTAAGCTAGGTTGAAAATTTTTCAGAAAAGTGATTGACTTTGGGATAATTGACTAGAAAGAGAATTTAGGGAATTATATCTGTTTAGGAAAAAAAAAAAGCTTATGAGAGACCTAAGGGATAGAGCCGCTGAACTCACTGATCAATCATCACATCACATCCTCATCTGGTGAGATGCACAGAGCGTCACCCATTGCCAAAAACTGAGACCTGATCAAGCCTCAAGACCAAGCTATCAGTTCATAGGAAATAGAGGGTAATGACATGTTAGAAGACATCATGAAGATGAAATATAATGCAGAATGTTAATGTTAAATGGTGAGGGGAATGAAGTGGAAGGGGAAACCACTTTAGAATATGAGACTTCTGGAACATATCAACACAATGCAATGTTAGTGTGGACCTTGTTTGGATCCTAATGGCAAGAAATAAACCATAAAAACTATTTAAAAAACAATCAGAAAATGCTATCGGGATATTAGCTACAATTAAGGAATTACTAAAACTTAACACATTGCAGACAGATCATGAGAATTCTCATTTCATATTAGTGTTTTACAAAGTATCATACTTCAAAAAGATATTAGTTTGTAAGAACATATAACTTCAAAATGCAATGGGTAATTTTAAAGCATGCCTTTAACATTTATGTAAAACGTTTTTTGTACTCGTTCAATAGAAATTTATCTGGCCACTGGGTAAAGCTAGCAATAAAACTATTGGTCCGCAATGTGTTGTTCTAATAATGGCTTATGTATCTTTGTTAAAAAGGAGTCCTTATGCCCAGCTGGACTGGCTCAGTGGTTGAGCATTAACCTATGAACCAGGTCATGGTTCAGTTCCCAGTCAGGGCATATGCCCGGGTTGATGGCTCGATCCCATGTGGGGCATGCAAAAGGCAGCTGATGGTGCAGAAGGCAGTTGATCGATGATTCTTGCATCCTTGATGTATCTCTCTCTCCACCTCTCAAATCAATAAAAAAATATTTTTAAGAGTCCTATGTCTTGCCAAAACCGGTTTGGCTCAGTGGATAGAGCGTCGGCCTGCGCACTGAAAGGTCCCAGGTTCGATTCCGGTCAAGGGCATGTACCTGGGTTGCAGGCACATCCCCAGTAGGAGATGTGCAGGAGGCGGCTGATCGATGTTTCTCTCCCATCGATGTTTCTAACTCTCTATCCATCTCCCTTCCTCTCTGTAAAAAATCAATAAAATATATTAAAAAAAAAAAAGAGTCCTATGTCTTTGAGATACATATTTAAGTACTTATAAATGAAATAAGATGTCTGGGGGGAATGTGGGGCAAATATGGGATAATGAAAAGATTGGCCATTTGTTAAATGTAATGTCGTGTGATGAGTACACAGTTCACTGCATTACAATATTCTTCCTACTTTCATAGGTTTGAAAAATTCTGTAAGATTAGGCAAAACTTTTGTGCTCAGAGGTTCAAGAACTCGTCTAGAATTTTATACCGAATTTCCCTCACGCCTCCCTTGCACTGAATCTCAGCTGCTGAGGTGAAGGCTACCCTGAACAGACCACATATGCCCCGCCATAGATCAAGGACTTAAGTCCCTTCTGTTGTCTAATTTGCCAGGCTCTTGAGCTTCAACCTAAGGTCTCTGCTGGAGATTCCTTTGGCCTTATCTTCCTCCCAATGTTTAACGACAACGGAGCCTTTGCCTCACCCCTTCCCTTACTCTTTGATTCACAGGTAAACCCTCCCACCCCACAGAGCACCAATCAACAGACGGCTACATTTCACTTTATTTTGCACAAAACGGATACAAGCAATTGACTAAGCAGCTCCAGAACTGTTAGTGTTCCTTAATCAAGAAGTAAATGATGTCAGAAGGAAAACTTTTCAATTCCTCCCAAACACATCTTGCAAATACAACGAACTCTTAACACATGCGACACAGGCTGATTTTGACACAGAGAAAGCCTCAGCCAGAAGGGTTAGTACTGAACACCCACATGGGTCAGACCAGGAGCCACGCTCCAGGAGCTAGCTAGACTATACCTAGTCGGTTATTCACGCTGCCCGCATATACATCTGCCCTGTGAAGTTCACTGTCCCTTGTCAGACTGGAATCCAAACAGCTCCTTCCATTTCCAGGCTCATCACTTCCAAGGCGGATAATCCACACACAGAAATCCAGGCAGCTCAAATATACTACTCCCTCAGCTGTGTTTTACGTGACATCTCCCCAAGCCAGGCTCCAGTTCAAATTCTGTACAGGAAGTTCCCATTGTCGTCAAAGAACTCTCGCCCCCTCTGCACGACCTTGCTGCTGAAGTTCTGGTCACCCAGTCCTCTTGCCCTCAACTCTTCCAGCTTCCGCGCACTTGGCAGTCCATCACTGCCAATGCCTCTGGTGCCCTCACCGTCGCTGGTGGGGAACTTCTGCAGCTCGCTCTGATGACCTTGGGCTGCAGCAACAGGCACAAAGCTTTCCTTCTCCAGGCTCTGGGCTCCTTTACTCCTTCCCTTCTGTCTCCTCGGAGTGTTTGTACTCTGAGTGTTCGGTTCTATCACCTTCAAAGCTGTGCTGTGACCTTGGCCTTGGGATGAGGCTTCACCCCCTGACACGGGGTGGCCTGCAGAAAGCAGCTTCCAGGTCTCCCCAGGGCCTGGAAGCTGGCGCAGCGAGGGGGCAAGCCCAGCTTTCTTCAGGACTTTTTGATCCTGCTTCAGCTTCTTCTCCAATGTGGGTACAAACTTGCTTTTTAAAACCCTTCTGATCACATCGGTGCTAACAGCAAAGCCTTCAGCCAATCTGGGAACGGGCCAGGACTCTGGAAATTCTTCATGTAAATACCTATAGGAAAACGAAGCAGTTTTCAAGTTGTCAAAAAGCATCCTATCAGAATAGCTAACTGATATGAGTGATAAATACGTGAGGAGAAGAGGTACAAACACAGGCTGTTTCACTCCTGTGTGCTAACACCAACACCCGGCCACTCTAAGTCCACAGCAGAGCTGGTCTGAAAGGATGAAAAGGAATAATAAGCTGACCGAGGGGAAGAGAAGAGATCAGAAGTACTGACGGTACAGTGAGCACATGAAATGCAGAGAACATCATGTTCATGGGGAATAGCTCAACTTGGCGGACAGCACAGGCAGGAGCAAAATCATGCCGTACTTAGGAGTCTGGAGTTTACCCCAATCCACAGCAAACCAAGGAAGGCTTTTAGTCAGGGGAATGCCATGAGCAAATTTCATTCTGAAGCTCAATCCAGTGGTAGTTTTTCAGCAGCAAGACTAGAGGCAAGAGGCTATCAGAATAATCCAGGTAGTATGAACAGGCGGTGGCAATGAGAGCAGGAAAAGGAAGACTTCAGAAATGCTCAGGAAGGCCAAGTGGTAAACTTGGTTAAGGGACTAAATATTGGAGGAGGAAGCAGATTCAGGATTTTAGCTTGGGTGATTGGTGGGATTATAGCAAAAACAGGAGAATTAAACTGTCAGGGAACAATGACAAATTCTATTTTATACATGTTGAGTCTCAGGAGCCTGTGTGACACCCAGAGGTATGTAGTGCACAGTTGATATGCACAGAGTTCAGAAGAAAAACATGGGCTGAAAATGATGGCTTGAACAGCAAAGGCTGTTGAAGGCATGTGAGTGGCTGCCATTAGGCAGGGAAGTAGGCGGAGTGAGGTAAGTGACTGAGAAGACAATTCTACAAAACAGCAATACTTAAGAAACAGGAGGAAGAGAGGGGTGTTCAGGAAGGAAACAAAAGCAGCCCTAGAAACAGAAGTGAGGAGTAACTGGGTCAAGGGAGAAGAGAATTTTCTGAAAGCAAACCACAAGGTCCAATGCTGCAGAACTGTTAGGGAGCCTAAAGACTAGAAGATCAGTTATGCCTAGGAATGTAAAAAACGTCACTGATAGATTTGTGGAGAATGGTTTCATAGACCAAAAAAAAAAAGCAACAACAAAGACAGGCAGCCTACTGTGAACAAAATAAAGAACTTAAGCCCTAACCGGTTTGGCTCAGTGGATAGAGCGTTGGCCTGCGGACTGAAGGGTCCCAGGTTTGATTCCGGTCAGGGGCATGTACCTTAGTTTCGGGCACATCCCCAGTGGGGAGTGTGCAGGAGGCAGCTGATCGATGTTTCTCTCTCATCGATGTTTCTAACTCTCTCTCTCTCTCCCTTCCTCTCTGTATAAAATCAATAAAATATATTAAAAAAAAAAAAAGAACTTAAAATGACAGATGTCGGTTCCTGAGGAATTAGGGAGGGATAGGACCTAGCGCACACAGAAGACTGGTCCTAGACGAGTGAAGGGCTAGGGTTTCCTCCGAGACGTAAATAGTGCAGGACTGAGATGGAAAACAAGAGGGAAGACCAAGAAGCTTTACTGGACACCTACTTAACAGCCTGTTTTTTCTTTGGCGTAAAAGGACATTTACAGATCACATTTATAGGTCTGACAGGTGGGAAGTTTTGAAGAAGCTGTT